TTGTGGGAAATCCGGCCCTGGGTAGACCCCCATGCTGCACGATTGTTGGAAGATCTAAAGGAGACCGAGCAAAGATCATACAATCCGATTGTAACATTTGTTGCCAACATTAGAGATCTAAGTAGCTCCGGAATTATAATGTATTAGAATGTTCTTCTTTGCTTACATTGATTAAATCCTCTTTATACGGCACTGTCATAGTTGTCGGAATCTCCTGCAAGTGTCGCCTGCGCTGATCTCCTGATCGAAGTCGGCTTCATCTACAAAGGAAGCTCCATGGAGTGACACAGATCTGAAATACAATCATGATGTATATCAGTATTGCTACATTTCAATGTAAAGTGTATGCAAACTCTAACAATGAACTTCTCGTATTCGCTCCCTTCCTGTGACATTAAAGAGGAACGTTAGCCATATATTCAAAATGACAACAAAGACGCCTTTAGAAATGTTCAGTGATGACAATCTACACACGGTTATTCTAAATAATTGCCGGCTTTGTATTCTTTATATACCTTATTTCTCTTTTCCTCAACATTCTTCTCACAGCGTCCATTTTTACTAAGGGCAGATGAATCCATCTCACTTTACTTCCTGGAACTCTGGCACATGTGACTAGGACATGGGACCACGCACATCATATCAGGGGAGGCAAATGCCTTTCCCTGAGATCTCATGAGATTACAGATGAGATTTCCCAGCAATGTTCTGCTGATGTAACCTTCCCAGGATGCAACGCTCGGGCACAGATTACATCACTAATGACCAAGAGGACCAGGAAGTGGAAAAACAAGAAATTGTCAGAAAAATGAAAATATGTTTAACCAATGAATGTAAGATGATTTCATATCAGCATGCAGAGCTGTATGCTGAACAGCTCCTGGATGTTTAAACGTTTTAGCTTCCTGCAGAATCAGCCGGCCCTGATATCCTGTTTTAGGACCGGTTCACACCTGGGCGTTTTGTAGCGCGTTCCTAGGCTCTGCAAAACGCTCAAACACCGAAATCCCATTATTTCCTATGGGTATGGTTCACACCCGGGCGTATTACAGGCCGTATGAACGCGCTACAAAACGCCCTACGCCCAAAGAAGTACAGGAGCTTCTTTGGGGCGTATTTGCTGCGCGTATCTATTAGGATACAGCCGAATAGCCCTCGGAAACGCGCATTTGTCGCGTGTTTCTTTTACCGCATATCGCTGTAAAAACGTGCGGCAAACGTGCATATTCCGTACGCCTAGGTGTGAACCCAGGCTTACAGTGTCCTATGGAGGCACCCTTGTGTGTGCTAGTAGGCTGTGTGTGTGTCCTCAAATACACAGGAACAGCAAGGAAAGCCACTCCCCTCCCCCTTTCTCCAAGCTAGTAGATGGAAGGCTGATGGAGACTGCTCTGTCCCTTGTGATCTTGTATTGGACAGGAAGTTTAGAAAAGCCGAGCTAAGAGAGTTGGAGCCGTTCAGAAACAATGATGACTGGAAGTGCTTGGGCAAAAATGTAATGAAATGCTTTCCTGGGCAATTTATATTTGTTTGGTCCGGATTCATTTTTGAAAAATGTTTGAGAGTTTATTAACTACTACCGCTGATGGACGTTCCATCTGCCCATCACTCCCAACAACTTCCTGAATTCCCAATGTGCTTTGGGTCTCTTTCCCTGCTGCTTGATGTTATGTAATCTCCATTTCCAAAGACTGCATACCCCATCATGCATTGCTTCCAGCAAGCAATGATGGTGTTACATTGTTCAAACGTTGTGTTGTAGTTCAGAAGGCAGGCTCTGTGAGAGTGGTGACACATAGAAGGGCATATTCACAGGGCTGAGTGAAAATGTGTCACTGCATTGAGAAAGTAGATCCTATGGGCATCTTCTCTTCAGTTGGCAAACTTCTAGATGGATCTGGTTATTAGGAAATTCATTGTAGAAAATCTGACCATAGATACCCTTTAATGGCAACGATTGTGGATGGGATGTCTGACAGCCTCATATATAAATACGCGTGATGGTCGGGTTTCCTCACACCATTGGTCATATAGTAGGGATGCACCGATACTGATACTAGTATAGATCTCGGTGCCGATACCGAGTATTTGGGCTCGTACTCTCCCAAATTCTCCTATGCCTATCCCAACACCGGAACTTCCAGTATCAGGAACCTGATTACTGAACCATTACACGCTGCCTGGCTTCCTGATTGGCCACCGGGTGACCAGGGAGTATGGAGCCAATCAGGAAACCGGGCGCCGTGTAATGACTTGCCGCCTGGCTTCCCGTTTGGTCGAGAAGCTGGCCAATCAGGAAGCCGGGCGCGGTGTAATGACTTGCCGCCTTGCTTCCTGTTTGGTCGAGAAGCTGGCCAATCAGGAAGCCGGGTGCCGTGTAATGACTTGCCGCCTGGCTTCCCGTTTGGTCGAGAAGCTGGCCAATCAGGGAGCCGGGTGCCGTGTAATGACTTGCCGCCTGGCTTCCTAATTGGCCAGCTTCTCGACCAAACGGGAAGCCAGGCGGCAAGTCATTACACCGCGCCCGGCTTCCTGATTGGCCAGCCTCTCGACCAATCAGGAAGCCAGGCGGCGAGTCATTACCCGCCCCCCGGCTTCCTGATTGGCCTGAAAGCCGGTATTCTATCGAAAGCTCCAACCTGTCGAAATCTCCAACGACCTCATTGCCGGGTACAAGTTGGAGATTTCGACCAGACGGCGTCAGACTGCAAAACACAAAGACTGACGAAGCTTCTGTACAGCTGCATTTTAACAATATTCAGCAGGTGGCAAACTCGACGAGTATTCTGGAAAACGCTATGCGCGCATGCGCACCGCAACTGTACGGAGCTCCAGTCTTTCTGAGCACCGGAAGTGAGGTAGTTGGAGATCTCGATGAGTTAGAGCTTTTGATAGAACACTGGCTCTATGCTTCCTCGTCACTATGGAGACGGCTTGCCTGCTAATCAGGAAGCCAGGTGACGAGTCATTACACACCGACTGGCTTACTTAATGGGACTTCCGGTATCGGTATTCGATATCGGCGAGTATCGGGAAAAAAATATTGGTACTTGTACTCGATACCGAAAACCGGTATCAGTGCATCCCTATCATATAGTGTACAGAGAGGAAGAAGATACAAATCTCCGGATGAAAATAAAGTCCCGGAGATGTAACAAATGAAAAGAAATGACTTTTAACTTCATAATAATAACTGAAAATCTGAACTTCTGTATAATAAGTTCTTCCATTGGCATAGAAGCTTCATGTAGGAGCTGGCAGCTCTGCGGATCTCTTCTGTATATTCATTTATCTCCTCTGACATCACCGGCTCCATGTGACAAACCCGCCGATTGTTCCCGTCCTTCTATTATACAAAACGATTTCTTCATTAAAATCCATATTCTCTGCAGTCCCACAATAGCCAATAATAACGGGGAGAGCGAGGTAAAAATAGCGCTGAATTTATCAATCAGCCATTATCGCGCAGCCCTCATCACCGCCTTGTCTCTCTGCCTCCGACCGTGTCATTATGGCTTCCTCGCGCTGTGTCATTATCTCCGACAATTAACTGGCAGATGTGCGCGCGTCTGCAGCTGAGCTGGGGATCCATATTGCGAGCTGCCTATGGTCGCGGAAGCATTCATTGGTTCCCTAAGTAGAACTGAAGCCAGAACTTTTTTTCTTAGGTTTGAATAGAGTAGGGGGAGGGGCATAACCCCAGGCCCGGATTCCCCACAAGGCCAGGCCTCGGGGCAGCAGGGCGCCGAGGGGCTGCAGCGGCGTGGTGTCCCCCGACGCCCGGAACATACAGTTCCGGGCGCCAGGCGGTAAGTTGCCTTCTACATTTAGTCCTGCTTTGGGAAGGTAGGATTAAATATAGTGTGGGGGATTCGCTCGCTCGTTCACAAGTGATTGCAGCGACGTCGCAGAAATCACTTGTAAAATGTGTGGTCCGGTTCAGGATCCAAGTCTGCAAATTGCATTCAGGAGCTCCAAAATGCCATTGGGGTCTAGGAGCCTCAGCTTTAGTATTATATGTATATACTGCATATGGCTCCCATGTTGTTGTAATGAAAATTCGTGTTCGGACCCATTCGGATGCTGACTGGAACGGAGGAAGACACTTGAACATATGGCAAAATATTTGGAACACTACTACAAAGAAGCTCAGATGATAGTGACCAGCTAATGCTAATGGCCCGGGCAGGTGTACAGACCCAAAAAGGTCAGCAGAGGGATGGTGGGTGTCCCTCATAATGGGCACAGCGGGTGTACAGACCCGGGAACTCAGCACAGGGATGGGGGGAGCTCCTCATAATGGGCACAGCGGGTGTACAGACCCGGGAACTCAGCACAGGGATGGTGGGGGCCCCTCATAATGGGCACAGCGGGTGTACAGACCCGGGACACAGGGATGGGGGGAGCTCCTCATAATGGGCACAGCGGGTGTACAGACCCGGGAACTCAGCACAGGGATGGTGGGAGTCCCTCATAATGGGCACAGCGGGTGTACAGACCCGGGAAGCACAGGGATGGGGGGAGCTCCTCATAATGGGCACAGCAGGTGTACAGACCCGGGAACTCAGCACGGGGATGGTGGGAGCTCCTCATAATGGGCACAGCGGGGGTACAGACCCGGTAACTCAGCACAGGGATGGTGGGAGTCCCTCATAATGGGCACAGCAGGTGTACAGACCCAGGAACTCAGCACAGGAATTGTGGGAGCCCCTCATAATGGACAGATCCTTTAACCCTTTTGTGACTACAGTTATTTTGAAGCTTGGACACCCGGACCAAGTTTAACAGCATTTGTGCGCATCAGTTACCGTGACAATATCTCTAGGACTATATTTCCCATTAAAAGGGTCTGAGAGCTAGGAACGCACACAGCTGCCCATTCCCAGTCCTCTGCCGCAAGGTTCGGGGCATTTTTACATATGGGATATACAAAGTCGCATTGCAGTCACGATGGGGTTATCCAGCTCAGCAGCAAACTGCTCTTGGAAATTGTCCCAAACCGCTGACATCCGTGCTGATGGTGGTGGACGTGGCTGCGGTTAGAGAATATTCCCACCGGTCACCGTAAATATCAACAGTCTCTGCAGGGAGGCTGATATGTGAGGCGGGCTGCAGAGACATTCCCAGCACAGGGCAGAGTCTTTGTGGAGTAAATGTCACATAACTGTCATACTTCACACACTGTGCAAACAGAACAGAAACAGGCGTCACAGCACCGCGGTCCCAGCGCCCGTGCCC